TCCCTCTGTCAAATAAATAAATAAAATCTTAAAAAATATATATTATATGCATATGTTATATATATACCTATATATATAGTTTCAAGGGATTCCTACATAGAATATATAAAGAACTCCTACAAATCAATAAGAAAGTAACAGTCATCAAAATAAAAAAATTGATAAAAGGCATCAACAGACACTTCACAAAAGAAGTTTTCCAAATAATCATTAGACCTGTGGAAAAGTACTTCATTGACCATCAGTTAAAACCAGTACCTACTCACTACATACGTAGAGTGGCTAGAAGTAAAAATTGACAATACCAAGTGTTGATGAGGCCATAGAGCAATGAGAACTCTCATACCCAGCTGATGAGTTTGTAAACTGAAGAACTGATTGAAAGTGTCTCCTAAAGCTGGATGTATGCCCACCTTACCCATTTATTCCACTCCCAGGAATGCACCCAACACAAATCCTTATATATATGTATCAAAAGATCGATACAAAATTTAGAAACAACCCAAAAACCCATCAGTAAATTGAGAGATAGTCATAGAATAGAATACTAGACAGTGATGAAAAGTAAGACACCGCCGACACAGGCAATAGCATGAATGAATCTCACCAACACGATATCAAGCAAAAGAAACCAAACACAAAAGAATACATACTGTATGATTTCATAAGTCAGTAGCATTTCTCTATAGTGGCAGAAGTCAGAGCCGCATTTGCCTTTGTGGAGGAGTAAAGGGCTAACAACTGGGATGCCATGATGGGAACTCATAATGTTCCGTTTCAATATCTGGGTGCTGATTGCATAGTCATGCTCACTTTGTGATCATTAATTGAACTGTTTACATGATTTGTGTTCTTTTCTGTATAAGATACACATTTTTAAAATCACTTTGGAGAGCAAGAATGGAAGCAGAGAGACCTTTTAAGAAACTTGTAGTAGTCCAGATAGGAGATAATGATGGCATGGAGGAGAGGGATGTGGTGGAGAGGGAGAGAAGTAGACTAAATTAGGACGTGTTTTGGTGGAAGAACTTAAATGATTTGCTGATGGATTGGATGTGGAAAGAAAGGAAGAATTCTACAGTGACCCCTAGGTTTGTGGCCCAAGCATCTGGGCAGATGTGGAACCACTGGTCCAGATGAGGAAGACCAGGAAAAGAAGCAACACCAGATAGACACATTCATATGTGACCTCATCTATTTCCCCCAGCAACATTCCTGGGTAGCTATTTTTATCCTCATTTTACAGAAAAAGAAACAGAGGCTCTCAGAGATGAAGTTATTTCTCCAGGCTTACACAGGTCTGAGAGGAAAAAGAATGGGAAGATTTTATCCAGGTGGTAGTCAGGGATAGCATTGGAGCCTGCAGCCTCAAGTTGAACAGTCAAGGTTTAAACCTGCCTCTGTCAGCATGCAACCTTGGGCAAGTCTCTTCTTTTGTCTTTATTTGTAAAGCAGGGATAAGAGTCATACCTTCTTCATAGAGTTAATATATGTCAAGAGCTTTAAAGGAGCCTGATGCAAGTCAGCCATCTGTAAGTTAGCCATATCAGGGTCTGTGTGGACTTCCCAGAGGGGTGGAAAAACAGAAGGTGGATTTTAGTTCTTGAGCCAAGACTGAATTTTATTAGCATGGTGATTGCCCCTAAAAACTCTGAAACAAATGATGGCATATAATGTTATTGCCACATAATAGAGACCATTGGGACAAAAATCCAGGAGCCAAAAGACATGAAGTGCATACAACAGAGGAAAGCCTGGCTTGGCTGGGTGTTGGCCACCTGGGTGCCAAAATGCTTTTCTGTATGTTAGAGAGGAAAATTGTTGCAATTATTCAGGACCATTTTGGAGGGCAAAATCGAGCTTCCCCAAGGTGCTCCAAGGTAGAGGGCCATAGGTGTTGACTTTCCAGTCAGGAGTCAAAGAATTCTGCACTCTTGGTTTCAGTGATGCTTCCCATCACTTCTCTCTTATTTGAATTATTGAAGCAGGCTTTAAACCAAGCTCTAAACTCCTCCAACTTGTCCCCCAACAACAAATACTTACTGAGCACCCACATTGTTCCAGGGTCATTACTAGGTGCTAGGAAACAATACCAATGAACACACAGGTATGATGCCCTCATGAAGCTTTGGGTCCACATGACTCCAGAGTGATACTTCTGTGAGTAGAAAGCACTTTACAAATTGTAAAGGACTGGTCCAATGGTGCTACTGGAGGAAGATCAAGGTAATGATGGCAACTATGATGCATAGCTTTAGCCTGTCAATGTGGCTCTCCGCTGCCTAGGATAAAGGCATAAGCCAAGGCCAGCCTAGATTCCAGCCTCTCTTCCCAGGCCGTCTCCCTTCTATCGGCCTTAAACTCCATCCACATCCAAAACACTAGCATTCCCCTTATTTCCACAACCCAAGGCCCTTGAATATTCCTCTGTCTGAAACATTCTTCACCTACTGTCTGCCTGGAAACTCCCACTTTCTCCTTCAAGAGCCAATCTCGACTTCCCATAACTCTACCCCACAGGTGGGTTCATCCCTCCCTCATCTCCTTTTGCAGCATTCTCTATATGGTTGTTTCTCAGTAGGCATTAAGATGTAACTGAATAGCCTAAGAATCATCTTTGAATCTTGGGCCAACCCTGTTCACCAGTCATTGCGATTCAGTATGTCTGGGGTGCATAATTGCTAAGAACTCAGGGCTCAAGTCAAGCAAACTCAGGTTAAGTCCAAGCTTCACTCTTTACCCACTTCATGACCTTGGCCATGTTACTTAATCTTCTTAAGTTTCTGTTAACTGCATAAAGCTAGATAGAAATAGGCAGGAATGATCCATTGTGACAAAGTACGTAAAACAGTACAGTACCTGGCACCTAGGAAGTGTTGAACAAATTGTAATGGTCATTGAAAGAATTTTGGTTTATTCTGCCCCAGGAAACCAACCCATTTCTTCCCCACCCCCACCCACATCTCTGAGTTGGAGAATCAAATTATATTATGATCCATTGTTTATGGGCCTGTGTCTCTCACTAATGTGAAACCCTGGAAGGCAGGAGGCATGTCTTAGTTTTAGATGCTCTGCACATTGCACAGTTCTGGGAAGAGCATCACCATTTGCAAGCTGTGCAGTCGTGGTCAAGTCTGTCTGCCTCATGTGGCCTCAGAGATTTTCAGTGTTGGGGAGAATAGTTCTTAGCAGACAAGGCTGTTATGAATACCAAATGAGATTATAGATGTGAAAGTGTTTTGTGTGCTGTGAGCTGAGTTGTCATTATGGTTATGCCATCCAGGACAAGAAGGGGCTGTCATCTCACAGTAAAAGTGTCTGTGACCCTCCATTTCCTCTTCTTTCTCATCCCGTGGAATATCAGTGTGACCCTTTCTCCTGAAACATTCTTACTCGATTTATACTGAACAGGAGATCCCACAACGACCTGCACAGCAGCTCCAGTCTTTCCAAGGAGAGAGGGACTATGGATCCCCTGGTGGGAGGTGAGTTCTTCCCAGAGTGCCAGCCACTGAGAACATTGCAGCAAGCCGGACAGATGTGATCCTTGCCCCAGTAGAATTCTAATGCTAGTTGAGGGAAAGCTGATGATAAACAAGTAAATCTATAAATAAAATCATTTCAGAGAATAATAATTACTAAGAAAAATGAAGTAGAAAATGTTATAGAGCATTTGGGGGAGTGAACACTATATAAAGTGGCCGAAGGTCTTTTGCAGAGGTGATATTTGAGCCCAAATCCCAAAGACAAGAAGGATTCAGCCATGTGAAGATCAAGATTAAAAGAGTTCCAAGCAGAGAAACAGAAAAAAAAAAAATGTTTAAAGCAACTTGGTGCAAAATGGAGGTTACTGTAGGTGGAATTATTGAGTTAGGAGAGAGTTGGTGGTGGTGAGGCAGGAGGGGTAGAAAGGGAGGCCACCATGTGAGCCTTTACAGGCTGTGATTAAAAGAGAGAGAGAATGACAGAAATCAAATGAACAATCAAGGGAAAGGACGTTACTTTGAATTGTACTTCTCATGTGTGCATACATTCAGCAGACACAATTCAACAGTTCTTGTGAGGAGACACTTGGCTGGCTCAGTAGGTCAAATGCCTGCCTTCAGCTCGGTCATGATTCCAGGATCCCGGAGTCCGGCATCGGGCTCTTTGCTCAGTAGGGAAACCTGCTTCTCCCTCCGCCTGCTGCTTTCCCTGCTTGTGCACTCTCTCTTGCTCTCTCTAGCTTTCTCTGCAAATAAATAAATAAAAGCTTTTTTTAAAAAAATCTGTTGTGTGTCAGTCATTGTGCTAGGAGATGGAGATACAAAGAAAAATAAAATATGGAACCAGTTTTTATGAGCCTGGTAACTGATAATATAGATGCATAAGTAATTATAATACAATATGAGAAAAAGTCTAGAGGGATGTAAAGGCTGAGGGAGCTTAAGGAGGGAGTGATTGACTATGCCTTAGGGATCAGGAAGTTCTCACTGAGAATGAGGACACTTTAACTTGCAAATAAAGTGTAAATAGTAAGGGGAAAGAATGTTCCAGCCAAAGGGAGCAGCAGATGCTAAAGCACTGGGGTGAACCTGTTCAGAATGAGTGGTTATCTATTCCCGTGGGAACACACCCAGAAAGGAGACCCTGAGTCTTGCTGGTGAAGGATCTTCAGTGCCACACACAAGAGTTTGCATTTTATTATGGATACACTGTATATATGGAAGGGGTTGGAAAGCTCTCTTTAGGACATAGTAGATAATAGACTTGAACGAGATTTTAGAGGCACTCAACAGAGCAAGTCCAAGCCCTGCATGTGGTTGTTGGTCATGGAACTGAGGGTTGGGGTGAGGGAGTAGACTTCCAAGGCAGGCTGCCCTTTGTCCTCTAAGTAACAGGACACTGTGTTCCCAAACTTCAGGGCAGAACTGACTCTACGGGGAGCTCCCCCCTTGTCTCCTCTTGGTTTCACTGCTGGCGCCCTCTCCCGTCCCCGTCGCCAGCCCCCGCCTCCTATCTCAGGAAGCTTGGGTCTCCCTGGGAGCGGGTCTGCCCTTGGGGGAGGCCTCTCGGCTTTGTGCCCTGCAGCTTGGCTGACACTCGGGGCGGACCAAAGAGGGGCTGGGCGCCCCCCGCGCGCACGTGTGCTAGCCCAGGCAGGAGGGAGCGCCTCCGCGGAGGAGTGCAGAAAGGGGGAAGGAGACGCGCGCCAGAATCTCGGTCCCGGGCGCCCTGGTCGGCCGCGGAGGAGCTGCAGCCTCCAACAGGTTCGTAGAACGCACGCTCGCTCGCTGTTGCTGAGCCGCCACCTCCTCCGCTGGAGCAGGTTCGCCGGAGAGACCCTAGCCATAGGCCCCGCGCCGCCGAGCTCCCCGAGGGTGGCTTCCTCCGGCCCTCCTTCCTTCTCCCGGTAGCTTTCAGCCGCCACCGGCTCTTCCGGGGAGAGGCGGAGGGCGCCACGGGCTCCTTCTCGCTTCAGCACCACCTCGGGGACAGCTCCCGCGCCCGGCAGGCTCCTCTCTCCCGGTCAGCACTGCGCTGGCAGACAGCAGCCGTCTGCCGGCTCCTCTCCTCGTTGGGTCCGGGTTCAGTGCCACGGCCTCCGAGGACAGTCCCTTGTCCCCGCGGACTCCGCTCCCGGCGTCAACACCGCGGCGGCAGGCAGCTGTTGCCTGCCGCCTGCTTTCTGGCGAGCCGCGAACAAAGCCGAGGGGCTGGGGCCTCCCGCGTTCTTCGGGGGTGGGTGATTGCATCGATCGGGGATTTCGGCTTCCCCAGAGCAGTGTCTGGGGCGAGCTGGGGAGGGGAGCCCAGTCACAATCGCGCGTCTCTGGCTTGGGTCTGCAGTTTACCAAGGCCTGGCCATGCAATGGCGGGTCCCAGCTGGAAGTCAGAAAGAGAATGGAAGGGGAGACAGGCACAGAAGGGTCCTGGAGTCCAGTGGGGCGGGTTGGGCCTAGGCTAGAAGGGAGGAGTGCTCTGCCCCCTCTTCCCTCCAGGCCCCCACTTCCACCCCAGCTCAGGACCACGGACTTCCTTCGGAAAGCCTAACACAGATGCCGGAGGCTGACAGCTGCAATCACTGACTCAGGCTGTCCCTGGAACATCCCTAGAAAGTGTGAGGCTGAGTTTCCATGGGGGGAGGGGGCCGAGAAACCGCCAGGAAGCCCCAGGAACCGGGCAGCTACTTGCTTTCCCCTCCCTCCCGCCCAGGGTTCCGCCCCCACCTCCCGAGCGTTGCCCGAGAGGAAGGAAGGGGGAAAGGAGGAACCCCGGCAGCAGGTTGCGAACGGCGGCTTGGCTGGGGAGGCTGCAATTAGTAAGAAAAGAGGTTGAAGGAGCATGAGAAGCTGGGAGGTTCCCAAATTGGGAAGCCAGCTCCGCGGCAGAAAACCAAATGTGTAAGAGGAAACCTTTTCTCATCGAGAGCCGAAGCTGGGAGGGCCCTTGCCTCACGTGACCCTCTCAATCACTGGTAGTCTCTACCGGGGAGTTGGCATAGGGGGCAGAGGTGATTTGCCCAAGGTCACTCAGCAATTTAGTAGCAGAAATGGGCCTGAAGCTCAGGCACCCCAAAGCCTGGGCCTGTTGTGTGGTATTCACAGAGAAGTGTTTTAAAACCCCAGATGCAGGGAGACGAGCAGAGTTGTTTCCATTCTGAGTCCAAATCTCAGCTCTGTCACTTACTAGCACGTAACCTTGGGAGAGTGATGAGAAGACAGGTTAATAGTACCCACTTGCGGTGAGGATTTAATGAGATGCCTATATAATGAGCTTAGGGCAGGGTCTGGCACATAATAAGTGCTCAAAACAACGAGCTATCATTTCTGCTATTATTCCCTCTGTAAACATGTGCTGAAGATCTCTTATGTGCACTGGCTGTGCACTGGGGAGACAGAGAAGTGTCCTGGGGAGGGCGCAGGCCAGCAGAGGAAGCAGAAAAGAGATTGTTGTGATACGATGTGATAAGTGCTATAATCAAGGTAAGTACACAAGGTGATGGGATCGCAGAGGCAGGAGTGGTGAGCCGTCGGGGAAGAAGGGGAAAGGTAACTCAAACAGATGGAGCTGTGTGAAAAGGCCAAAAAGTGTGAGACCAGAACCACCAGTGTGATGTCACTATGCTGGACAGTCCTCGAGATGTGGGCTGTGAAATGAGAGTAGAGGGACAAGCTGGAGCCAGTCTCCAAAGGGCCTTCTATGATGAAATATTTCAACCCTATTTAAAAAAAAAATAGAAAGAATAGTATAATAAACCCCCCACATACCCATCATCAAGCTTCAGCAGTTGGCCAATTTTGTTTCATCTATACCCACACCCACTCTCATCACACTCACACACACACACACACACACACACACACACAGACTTATTTTGAAGCAAACCCAAGACATATCACTTAGTGCAGAAAGATTTTAACATCAACAACAACACCCTGCCATTCAAATGCTGTTCTACCTTAGAAGTCTTTAACTCAAACTATGACTTTCCTTCCACAATCTGAACATTCCTGTCCTTAGCGGGAAGTTTTGAGAGAGTTTTACCCTATGGTGATGAGCCATGTGCATTACTAGAGAATCAGAAAAAAATGGAGGATACATCAGCCTCAACAGATTTTATCAAGCCAGAATTGTTTATCTCCACAACCTACACTGTGGCCAGAGGCCAGTAACTATTTGCAAGGCTGACCAAAACACAAATTGAGCCCTCATCAAGAAAAAGACAAAAGTAAGAGCTTCCCTTTCAAACTAATCTGAACCATTAGCTTATACAGTCAGAAGGCTTGAAGTCATGGAAATCCTTGAATTGGAAATCGCCAAACCCAACAGCCACATTTTACAGATGAGGAAGAGAAAGGTCAGAACAGAGGAATTTACCCAAAGTGCCCCAGTGCTGAGACCAGAGCCATGACCTTTGAACTCATAATCAAGAGTTCTTGTCAGTTCACCATTCTGCCTGATAGATTAGGTCTCAGAGTTTTTCAGCCCGTAAACTTGGGATGTCCTTTCCTTCCCAAACTCAAAGAGCTAGAAGGAGAGGGGGGGAATGTAGGGCAAGAAATGTCCTTCCTGGTTCTCAAGAGGATGACAATGTATAGTAGTTGGTCTTTGAGATACCTGGACACATTTTCCTTCCATTTTCTTCTGAAGAAAGTCTATGATGGGGGTACCTATATTGCTGACCACTGTGTGTATCTCCTGCCTTGTCCCTTGGTTCTCATTAGCAAATATCTGTGATCAAACACCCGGACCTCATTTCAGCCACTTTTGCCCACTCTGTTCATCTTAACCAGATGCATGTGAAGCCTCACTTTTTCCATTTGCTCCAAATCGGACTGCACATCCCTCTCGACTACAGACGGCCATTCCTCAGAGGTATGAGTTGTGTCTGGCCCACGTCCTGGAAGGACTCAGAGCTCTTGTCCCTTTCTGGAGCATGAAGTCTCTCCCATTAACTGATGAAATATGATGTCTGTAATGGGTACGTGTGCTCCCATCAGGCTCTAGGCACTTCACAAGTCAGCATTTTGCTTTTCAAGAACATCCCTGCTGCAACATAGGGAAGGCAGAATCTCACAAGTCTCCCTGAGTCTTGGGTGCACAAATTAAAGCATGTGTCAGGGGTTCTAGACATCCCTGGTGAAGAGAAGTCAGCAGAGAATGGTTAATAAAATGGCTTCACTTCTGGGAGTATGACTACAGGCGAGACACAGAAGGATGATAAAGATAGTGAATTCCAGCTTGTGAAATTATCCCAGCTTTTAGCCTGAGATGAGACCAATTCAGATATATTATAATACATATATTACATTATTATATTATATTTTATTATGATGATACAGGTTTTCCCCACTATCCAAAAGTCTGCTTTTTGTCACATCGCTTTTACGGAAGACCTACATTAGTAGGTCATTTCACTAACCAAAAGAAATTTTAAGAGGATTTCACTTTTACCAAATGGTAATTGCTTCTTTGCTTTGCACCATTTTGGTTTACAAAAGGTTTCACAAGAACACTCTACTTTCAGAGATAAGGAGAAAGCTGTATTATGTTATACTACCTAGGCCTTAGTTGAATTGCAATAGGTAGGACTGAATCCGAAGGGACCTTGGTGAGCTTTTATTCTTCCTCCAACATTTACTCACTGAGTGGCTATTCTGTGTCTGGTATGTTCCCAGGTACAGAATAAGAAATCTCAGATCCCTGCTCCCTGCTCCCTGCTTATATACTTGCAGGAGACACTGTCATTAATAACAATTAAAAACTAAATATGAAAACATGTAAGCAGACAGACAGACAAATAAGGGGAGTCTGTCTGAAATGGCAACGTGACACTCAGACCCCAATAACAAGAAGCCAGTCGTGGGAGGATGTGGGGTCACACATTCCAGACAAAGGAAAGAGCTCGGGAGAAGGCCCTAAATGTGAGCCTGGTCTCTTTGGGGATAGACAAGAGGCCAGTGTGGCTGGAGCAGGGATCAAAGGGAAAAGTGGCAGCAGAGGAGGGTGGAGAGGGTGCAGGGACCAGTCCCTCACGCAGAGCCTTCTAAGCCACAGTCAAGATTTGGGATTTTATTCTAAATGCAATAGATTGTCACTGGATGATTTTAAGCAGAAGAGTGATACAAACTGATTTTGCTTTAAAAACATGCCTCTGGTTGTTTCATGGAGAATGGATTCTAGGAACACACTGGACCAGGTACAGAGCAGGAAGAGAAGGCCCCTGCATCCGGTAGAGGAGACAGGACACGAACCTGTGGGAAGAACTGCCATGGGGAGGGATGTGCAAGGCCTTGTGGGGACACAGAGCTAAGAAAAACCCATTCAGCTTGGGAGGCATCAGGGAGGGTTTTGTGAAAGTGGGCAATGGCTGTTGGAGTGCACCTAGGGAAGGAGAGAGTAGGACTGGTGCTGAGGACAGAAGAACGTCACCTAGCCGCAGTGGAGTGCACGAGCTGGGAGCCAGGCTGCCCGGGTTCCAATCCCAGCCACACTATTTAGTAGCTCTGTGGACACACTCAACTTAACTACTCTGTGCCCCGGGCTCCTCATCTTGAAAATGGTGATGGCAAGAATCACAAAGGAGTTCTGTGAGGATAGAGCAAGTTGAATGTTGTGAAGCATTTAGACGGTGCCTGCAAAGCACCTAGAAAGTGACATATGAGTATTGGTTAAATAAAAACGGAGCAAATGGAAGCTGGCGAGCGGGAGCCTGTGCTGGAAAAGGTCAAATAGAGGCCAGCTCTCAGGACCTTGAAGGCTGGGC